TAAGTCTAAGAACTGTTAGACAGTTAGCCAAAGATGAATCCAATTCATACCCTGAAGCAGTCTTGCCGGTCATTAGAGATATGTATATGGATGACTTGGTCTCCAGTTCACCCAATGTTGAAAATGCCCTTCTAATTCATTCTCAACTATTTATGGCCGGTGGATTCCATATAGTTAAATGGATGTCGAATTCTAAATATTTTTTATCGAACATTAATAAGAATATAAAATTAACCCAACCGGTAGAATTTGATAGAAGTAGTTTGAAGGTTTTAGGCCTACAGTGGGAACCTTCACAAGATGTATTCATTTATAAAATTGATATCAAGCCTACAATTTGTACAAAGCGAAATATGTTATCATTAGTGGCTCGTACTTTTGATCCGCTCGGTTTTCTTGCGCCAATAACTTTATGTTTGAAAATATTGATAAAAAAGCTTTGGGAGCAGCGCGTTGAGTGGGATCAACCTGCACCTCCAGAAATAACAAAAATTTGGGATACAATTCAACTCGAGTTTGGAGAGTTGAGTACTATAAAAATTCCGAGACATATTTTGGTGTTTGAGAACACGTCTTTATCACTCGTAGGATTTGCTGATGCCAGTATCGCTGGGTATGCAGCAGTCGTTTATTCGCTAACTACTGACTCTTCAGGTCATAGGAATATTTCGCTTCTTTGTGCTCGGTCAAAGGTTGCTCCTACCACAAAAGTCACGCTTCCTCGTTTGGAACTTTGTGCCGCAGTTCTATTGGCGAAATTAATAAGCCACATTCGGGAAGTTTATATCCTTAGACACGGAACTGATAAAGTTTACGCATTTTCCGATTCTATGATAACTTTGAGTTGGATACATGGCACTCCAAAGAAACCTAATTTGTTTGTTTCTTATCGAATTTCCCAAATTAAAAAATGTTTGCCTTCTACTCATTGGTATTTTGTTCCTGGTAAACAAAATGTATCCGATTGTGCTTCGCGCGGCTTAACGCCTTGTGCGCTCATAAATCATCCCACCTGGTTTTTTGGACCTACATGGTTATTATCGAACCCTTCCGAGTGGCCCATCAAATCTATTAACCAGAATGAAATTGAAGAATTTGATCAGGAAGTTTCGGTATTTGTAGCACCAAGAGTGATAATTATATCACCCTTATATTCACTTATAGAGTACTTCTCTTCATGGAGTAAACTACTCAATGGGACTGTTTACGTTTTGAAGTTTATTAAAATTCTTCCCCCTGATAAACGAATTGGGAAATCAGATTTGAAAAAGGCTGAATTAACATTAATTCGTGCTGTTCAACAACGTCATTTCCAAGAGGAATATTCTATGCAATCCAAAAATGAATTGTTGAAATCTACTTTACGTCGCTTGAATCCATTTCTCAAAGATGGTATAATTCGAGTAGGAGGTAGATTAGGTAATTCGAATATTCGGTTTGATCACAGACACCCTATTTTGTTGCCAAAGTCAGATCCATTAGTTGAATTATTAATTGATTATAATCATAAAATACATTGCCATACTGGGGCTCATCTCTTGCAGTCATTATTGCGACAAAATTACTGGATTTTATCTTCTCGAGATATGATTCGTAAACGAATTTGGAAGTGCAATCATTGTTTTAAATTGCATCCCAAACCCACCTACCCTATGATGGCTGATTTATCCCGTGAGCGTGTAAATCAAGCTGCTAAAGCATTTTCGTCTACTGGTGTCGATTATACTGGGGCGTTTCAAATAACTATGGGGCGACATAGAGGTATTAAAATCCAAAAGGCATATGTATGCTTATTCATTTGCTTAGCTACGAAAGCGGTTCATTTGGAGTTGGCTTCCGCACTATCCACTGAAATTTTTCTAGCTGCCTTCAAGCGCTTTATTTCACGAAGAGGTAATTGTGCTACACTATTTTCAGACCGAGGTACCAATTTCATAGGAGCAGAAGCTCAATTAGACGAAGTTTATAAATTTGTCAAGTCTCAAGAATTCACAGATGTTTTCCAAAAGGAACTCAATTTTCAAAAAATTACTTTTCGATACAATCCCGCCGCTGCGAGTCATTTTGGAGGTATTTGGGAATCAAATATAAAAAGCGTGAAGGCCCATTTAGCAAGGGTTATTGGAAATCAAATTTTGAGTTATGAGGAGTTTAGTACCGTGCTCACTGAAATTGAAGCTCTTCTGAATTCAAGGCCCTTGTGTACCTTGAGCAATGACCCAAATGATCCAGTTGCACTAACGCCGGCTCACTTTTTGTATGGTTCTCCTTTGAATTCCTTTCCAGTCGAAAATTTAGATGAGAATCTTAATCCAGTGAATCGTTTCAAATTATTAGATTCCATTGTACAACACTACTGGAAACGTTGGCATTCCGAATATTTATCCACTATGCAAGCTAGACAAAAATGGAATTCTCCTTCTAAACCGGTGAATGTAGGCACCATAGTTATTATTATTAATGAAAATATTCCACTTCTTCAATGGCCTTTAGCGATTGTCGAAAAGGTATATCCTGGCAAAGACGGTGTCGTACGAGTTGCTGTAGTACGAACAAAAAATAACACATATACTCGTCCAGTAGCCAAACTTTGCCCTCTCCCTAATCAGTAAATTTTAAAGTCTGATATGTGAATTGTTCGGAAATTCGCCTTATTTTTCTCGAATCCTTTCGATATTTAGTTCAGTAGTAGTTCATTTTTTTTATCAATAATTGTTGAATTTTCATTCAACTCGGGGCGGCCAGGATGTTGAGGCCATATTAATTATTTTATGGATTATGTTTTATTTTGGAATAACTCGAATTGTTCTTTTATTTCCTGGGCTATAACAAAAGATTTTGGTGTATTGTGTGTTGCCTACAGAACATGAATAATTTTTGTAACAATATTCATCGGATCACATTTTTCAATTTGTCGAATTTTTGCGCATTCGTGATTGAGAGTCGAGACTAGACCATTTGGCCCTACCGAATCGTTTTGTGAAAATTGAAACAGTGAAACTGACAAACTTTCAACTTAGCATATATCTCTAATTGTGGATCCTATATCTACCTGTTTTATTCATTCTTCCAATCCTACCTATTTACCCTCATATTTATCCCCGTGGTGAGCAGAAGAAAGAAAGCATGAACCTCATTCCATCATCCAAGGTAAGCGATTAGAGATTTCCAAAATACAGTCCATATTGAGCCGATTACATAACACATAGAATTACCAAACATTTACAATTTCATGAACTGAAAGCCATTTTTCAACGTAGGAATCGATTACATAGTAATCATTTTTTTTGCATTTATTTCAATCAGAAATCATTTTATATATCGTACACATATCATTCCCTGAGAAAAGCATGTTAATAATATTCGAAAAAAATTAATGGGATATCAACCTGCATGTATTGAAAAAATGGAAATATCAGCTTGTCATAGATAATGAGATGTTTATCCAGCGAAGGGAGATAATAACAATGGTAATTTATGAGTTCATCGAAACGTTTGGAGCAGTGACATAGTTATCATTTTTTTGTGCATCTATTTAATTTTTATTCAGTAATCATTTATACATGTATCAATATACTTACTTATACTCACTGAAAAGATCGATAAATAAATGGAATATCAATCTTGAACTTGTTATATCTTCCTTTTCCCTCCTATTTGTGTCACCCGAAGAAAATAATTACTATTCACTATAGCCTCAGTGGGATATGTTCATTATGTCCCAGCTGTCCACCACGCTGTACCCACACCGCTGGTCGCGATGACTTTCACTTGCATAATATGCACCGCTTGAATGTCTGCGGAAGATAGCACACGATGACCTTGAACGGTACAATAATTTGCAGAAAGAACCTTAGGATTTTTGACAAAATTAACATGGGATTCTCCATAAGGCGCCTCCGCCAATTATGCCGCTCCCGCATAGCCCCTTTACTCATGTGTTGGAGGAAATATATATTGCGTCTAGGAATGTTTGCTTTTCTTGTTCGAATTTGACGAACATTTTATGTATTCTTGAGTTGGGAACATTTTCAACTGTAGGTTGTATTTTGGCTAATAAAGAGTTTTCCACATTGTGACATACCTGGCAGAACCACTTAATTGAATCACTAGTTTTTATGGCTTTGACAATACTTTTTTTTAGATCACAACAATCTATGTGGGAGATTGATTTGCAGAAGCCGTTGCAGACAATATAATTTTCGTCTTTAATTATACTATCATACTTATAGCAGGAGCGATCCGATGGATCTTCCTCACTATCCGACATCTTGCCAGATTCCTATCAAACTTTTTCCTCTTTAGTGTTCGGATACAACAATTGAAAATTTCTCTACGGTAGACATTGGAATATGTTATATCTTCCTTAATATTCCTTTGGAACTTGAGTAATATATCCTTAGCACTGGTGAACTCTTCAACATGATAAATCCGGCGAAAATTTGTTACCAGTTCAATCGACTATCATGTTCAGCCACCCTAGTGCCATTCAGTCCTCGACGCAGTGCCGTAAATAGGGCGGTGCCACCGGTGCCCAGGCACAGGGCGTAGACTCTGGGGGGCGCAAGAAAGAATGGCCAAAGCAGGCAGGACTATCATTGTTTCGGTTTGCTCATGATGAGTTCCCGTTTTATTGCTGCGCCCCTAGTGCTCGATTCCAACACATACTTGTCTACATGCCAGTATCATCAAGAGTAGACAAAACACCGCGCTCATCTTTTTTGGCAGCGCACGAGCGTATCAATGTTTAAAGTGTTTATCGGAGTAATGTCCGAGTCAACCTACCTTGTGCAGCACATTCTTTGAATTTGTCTGGCGTACATGCCGCTAGTGTAACACCCGACATGATCACATTTTTTGGAACAATTCAGAAGATATTTCTGTTTTTTTCGAGTTCTACCATCAGATGGGAAATCTTAATGAAACATCTAAAAATTTCTTTAAAGGAACATGCCGATACTAGATGGGCTTCTAAAGCTAGAGCCGTTAAAGCTTTAAATATGCAACTGCCCCAAATCTGGTGTGCACTGAAGTTTTTAACTACCAACGATTACAATGCAGAAACAGTAGCTACAGCTAAAAGCATTATGGGTCTAATAGACTATAAATTTATATGTACTCTGCAAATTTGGGATCAAGTTTTAGAGTCTGTTGATAGGGTGAACGTAGCTTTACAGTCGAAAACTATTGCTATTGACAAAGCCTCTGAATTAATCAAAGGATTAATAAGGCAGATTCAGAATATTCGCGAGACTATAGATAACGTTTTTGAAAAGGCAGAAAAAGTTTGTGTAGAATGTGAAATTGAGGACTATTTTCCGGAAAAACGTAAAAAGCGAGTGAAAAGACAAGACCTTGGAGAAATCTCAGACGCCGGCTACGATATTACATATTACCCCACAGCAAAGGTTCAAAATTAATATGTATGAAGCAATTGATAAAATGATTTCTGAATTCACATAGAGATTCGAGAAACTTCACAATATTCACCACCTTTTTAATTTTTTGACAATAGAAAATATTGCTAAATATCCAGCTGAAGAACTAAAAAAACATGCCGCTGATTTGAGTATCAAATATTCAGCAGATATTAATAATACTGAATTTTGGGCTGAATTAGACACTTTAAAGTGTCAAGCTGAAACGACTATATTATTTAATAAATGTGACCGTAGTACAAGTCTGGGTCTTCTTAAAGCTATAGTCGAACTAGATTTGAAAGATATGTTTCCCAATGTAGTAGTCGCTATAAAGATTTTTTTAACAATGCCAGTGACTGTAGCTTCCTGCGAAAGATCATTCAGTAAGCTCAAACTAATAAAAACTTACTTGCGCTCTACGATCGGCCAATAAAGGTTGACCGGCCTAGCGATTTTGTCGACTGAACGCGGCATAGGGCGCTGCCTGTCGTATGAAAAAGTTATCGACGATTTCGCAATGAAGAAAGCGCGAAAAGTAAATCTGTGAAAATGTTCATGGCTTGCTTGAAACAATCTTCACTATCTGAACTCATTCATTTGTGGTCTCAATCATTTGTGTATTATGTATTATGTAGTTGTAAATAATCTTGCAAATATTTTCGAATAAATGTTTTTTCACCAATTCATACTTAAATGCAATTTATATTATGCTACCTTCTCTATTCAAAACTTTAACATACCAAGTACTTGAAATTAAATCAATATATAAGGGCGCAGTTATAGAAGCTCGCACAGGGCGCAGAAAAGGCTATTTACGGCACTGCCTCGACGCGCTACAAACCTTGACTTGGGTGGAAAAGTAAAGGGGTGTAGCGCTCGCGACACAACATGGTTAGCCACCCTAGTGCCATTCAGTCCTAGGCGCGCTACAAACCTTGACTTGGTTGAGGAAATTAAGGGGTGTAGCGCTCGCGACACATCATGTTTAGCCACCCTAGTGCCATTGAGTCCTCGGCGCGCTACAAACCTTGACTTGGGTAGAAAAGTAAAGGGGTGTAGCACTCGCGACACATCATGTTTAGCCACCCTAGTGCCATTCAGTCCTCGGCGCGCTACCAACCTTGACTTGAGTGGAAAAGTTAAGGGGTGTAGCGCTCGCGACACATCATGTTTAGCCACCCTAGTGCCATTCAGTCCTTGGCGCGCTACCAACCTTGACTTGGGTGGAAAAGTTAAGGAGTGTAGCGCTCGCGACACATCATGTTTAGCCACCCTAGTGCCATTCAGTCCTTGGCGTGCTACAAACCTTGACTTGGGTGGAAGGGCGTAGCACTCAAAACACCTCATGTGTGCATATTTTGAGTCACTAATAGTTCGATTTTGAATTACAAAAATTAGTTGAATATATAAAAAAAACATTCAGGCTGCAACTGAAGATGTCAATGTCATGCTGCCATTTTGAAGAGTTTTGTAAGATAATTCACTGATTTCATCGGACTTCACTATGTCAATTTGTTCAGTAGCCCAGGTGAAATTATTCTGGAACACCCTGTATATTATTCTGTAGTATTCCATGCTCAAAGTGGAGTGGAATGATCAATAGACAAAAACTCAAAGTCGTCTCTACAATTTTCAATGTATAATCAGGCAGTCAATTCTGCTTCATTAAGGTTGATACATGTTTCGGCCATTCAAATGGCCATCTTGAGTCAAAAGAATATAAAAAAGTGTATGTGGAAATTACTTCAAAGCATCGTGAAGGCGAAAAAATTATTAATTAATCATCATTTATTATTTGTATTAATTAGAATTGGACTGATGTAAGAGGAATCGGGAGGAATGCAAAAAGCCCAATCCCCCAAGAGGAAAGTTAAATTCTTCATGGGACGCTGAAGAAGCTTTTCACCAGTGTTGATCCATCTTCATTCCAACTTGTTCTAACACAATGGCTTTATTCCATGAATTTGATTCATCTAATTTATACAAAATATTGTCATCCTTATTCAAATCTGGCAGCTCTTTCACACCTTTTTCATCAAAATAATATTTTTGGTTGTCTCTACACTTATCAACATATTGATCATATCTTGCCTTGCTTCTGCAAGTTGTCACATTTAAAGGCTTTGGTAAACAATCCCTAAGGTTTCTAGCCATCAATATATTAGCTGGGGAAGATTCACTATTCAATGGAGTATTTCTATAGTCTAGAATGGCCAAATAAGGATCTCTATTTTCATGTTTACACTTTTTCAATAATTTTTAATAGTTTGAATGGTTCTTCCTACCTGACCATTAGATTAGGGGTACCTTGGGGATGATTTTATATGAGAGAAATTCCAGATATTTGAAAACAGCTTAAATTTATGACTAGAAAATTCAGGGCCCCCATCTGAACATACAATGTTTGGTATGCCATGTCTGGAAAAGATAGATTTTAAATGCAAAATTATATTTTCACTTGAGAGATCCCTACCTAGACGTGCCAATCCTACAAATTTTGAATAATAATCCACTACCATCAAGAAGGATTCTCCATATAGATGAACAATATCACAAGCTATCTTGTACCTAGAAATCTTTGAGATTTCATGGGGTATCGCAATGACTCGGCCTGATTGTTTTTACTGAATTTCTGACAGGTTCCGCAGCTCAACACCATGTCCTGTACTTGCTTGTTCATAAACGGCCAATAAAATGACAAGTTAGCTTTGTCAATGCATTTTTTGACGCCTAGGTGAGAAGTTGAATGAAGTTTGTCGAGAATTTCATGCCTTAATGATCTAGGAACAACTAATTTTGGACCTTTATAATTTAGATTATTTATAAATGATAATTCTGATCGAAATTTATAATAAATTCTGACATTTTCTGGAACATCCTTCATTTTACCTGGCCAACCATCATGTATAAAGCCTTTTAACACGTTCGCTGCTGACCGAATAACTTACCCTTTCCCAGGAGCAGCAAGGTTTTTTTTGTGAGAAATTATTATTTTTATGTTCAGATGATATATATTCATTGTTACTTTGCTCATTTTATACTCATTACGTGTTTCAAAGGTAAAGCGCACCTAGCTCGTCGTCAGCATTGCCGAACATTTTTGACTGCCTATGCTGATGACGCGCATGGCGCGTCCATGAATAAAAATGGTTTTTGATTGAAAACTCCTTTATTATGAAACATATTAACAACTCAAATTCACTTTCGATGCTCAAACATATTATAAAATCATTCATTTCTTAGGTTTTCGTGATATTTCTGGAAACACGGCTCGAGGCAGAGTCCTACGTTACATGTTTTACATTCATACACAGTATCTTTCCTTTTACCCTCGGAGGAGCAATTTCTACATTTTTATTTAGAGTTTTTTTTTTCAACTGCCGATTTGGGACAATGACTTGCAAAATGGTGCAGAACCATATACATCGACCTAGGTTTTTGCATTCCTGCTGGTAAAAGATTTCTTATAATATCTAATCTGAAGTCATAAAATGACTTGCGATGTGCATGAAATTTTTTATACAACAAGTATGAATTCAGGAATAATAATTGCATAATGTGCAAACCAATCTTTTTATACCATCGAATGGTTTTTCTTGCACACGGATAATATGCCATGAATTGGTCCTGTCTATCGACACCTCCCATAGATTTATTATAATGGATGATCGGCAATGGTTTTGATTTATCATTTCCTCTCTTATCTTGATATTGGGTGAAATCGTTAGGAAATTCTGTAGAGATATAATTCACGTCTCTTTTATCATGCCACCTTCCAATCATGACATCATTCGAGTAGCGAGCAATTGTCTCTCCTTTTTTCAACTTGGAGGATTTAACTTCAGGAGGACTATTTTTACGATCGATGCGTGAAGTTCCTGTACTATATGTGTTTTTCGAAAGAAGATTCAGAGATAAATCATAACTATTGTAAAAATTATCCATGAATAATGAATGACCAACATTCTGTAACAGTCTATTTTGACAGTTACAACAATATCATTTATAAATAGTCAAATGCTAAGTAATTACATTGATCACCCTGTATATAGAAATATCATCCGTCAGAGCGACGAAACGAGCAAAGAAGCAAGCAATAAAATAACCACATTTTGTGCGGACTGAAAAAGCTAGGCATAGCGATCGAATTCTTTCATCGCGCAAACGAAAAGATTTCACGAGAAGTGAATGGACGTGCGAAATAGATACACGAAATTCTGATTTTCATTCAGCCAAGTTTTTGGGATTAATAATCGTGTAACTATAAACCAAATCAATTTCTATTGTGTGGTCTACTCAAGTGGAGTGTTCGGATACTTTGGTGGAAATTGATGCCTGTTACAGGGATTCCGGTTCGATATCGTTTCATCGCTTCTTATCTTTTTGTAAGTACGCTTTCCCAGCTAGTTTTGTTTCAAGTAAGGAATCAATGCATTATTCATTACAGATTGCCCCAGACGATCAGGGCTAACTGATTTTATCAATTCATCATCTTCGATATTTGGGCTGCGTCCGTGTCAGTGACAGACCCTCCAGTGAGGTAATGACAGTTTTTTTCTTTAATCGTTGCCTTTGTGTATCGATGCCGATACCAAACGAGTATATAGGTGTTGACACTATTTTTCTGTTTATTTTAGGGTCCTAATCCTGGGTTCGAGTCCCTAGTTCGTAGTGTAGGGTTCATACGTATATATCACCTACCGGTATTGTGTGAAGTTTTTGTCCGGCCAATCTTTAAGAAGCTGCCGGTCTCTCACGTAACTTGTGGAACGCTGGATGCATTGGACTTTTGGATAGTAGGAGAGTTGGAGAACTTCCACCTGCACCTGATAGCCAGATAAGCTGCATGTTTTTCTTTCTGTTTGTGATGTCATATTGTGGAACATTGTTTGGAAAAGTCCATATCATTATTGCGTAAAGACTGGACTTTAAATTGCACCTACATAGTTAGTGAATTTCTATGTTTATTTATATTTGCACAACCTTTATTAGGGTTATCAATCATAGAGCCGATTTCTTTTTTTTGCGTAGTGTATATTTTTCTGCTGGGGACTCAGAAATAACAATTGACCTTTTTTGTATCACCACGCGCCTGTAAACTCTACGTGTACACGTAAGGTATATGCGCTCTACGAAATTACTCATCTAGCCCTAGGGATCATTACGTTTCGCAGGAAATGATTCATGAAGAAATCGATAACTAAATCACTCATGATAGTTGAATTATTAAACCTTTTTTTTTTTATTATTATTATCATTATAGAAACAAATTCTTCTTTATATTATTATAGATTTCAGTCGATCCAAACGTGCATTCTTTATTTAAATTCTTCAACTCTTCCTACACTGAGCTCCAGGTTATCCACCAGGTCATTTATTTTGCTTCTTACTATTTGGCGAAGTATTATTATTGTTTTTGCGTTGTGGTAAAACTTTGGGCGCTAGCAAAAACCAGTTTTCATATGGATTCCTTTTTAGATCTGGGGGTTTTCTAATTTAGGCTCGCGGTAATAAATTAGTGGAGCCCATTTACATACGTATATATATATATAAAAATACACCCACCCCAAACTCTCTGTATTGAGCAGGGGGCAATCTTCCTTTATGCAACGCATTCCGCAGTCCATAGGTTTTCGACAGGTAAAAAGACGTCGCATAAATTTGGCGCCCAACGTGGGGCCTTTTGTTGTCATTTGACATCCGACGCGACAAGCGTCGTTTTTGAAATATTGGTATTTTCGTGCTAGTTTTGCATAAAATACCAATATTTAGTTGGCTTTGATAATTTTGGAGGTGCGACGCCCACCGACGCCAAGCGTCGTTTTTGAAATATAGGTATTTTCGTGCTAGTTTTGCATAAAATACCAATATTTAGTTGGGTTTGATAATTTTGGAGGTGCGACGCCCACCGACGCCAAGCGTCGTTTTTGAAATATAGGTATTTTCGTGCTAGTTTTGCATAAAATACCAATATTTAGTTGGTTTTGATAATTTTGGAGGTGCGACGCCCACCGACGCCAAGCGTTGTTTTTGAAATATTGGCATTTTTTAGCATATTTTGCATTACATATCGATATTTGATTGTTTTTGATAATCTTGAAGTTGCGACGCCCACCGACGCCAGGCGTCGTTTCTGAAATATTTGTATTTTCGAGAATATTTTGCATATTATATCAATATTTAGTTGTTTTTGAATATTTTGAAGTTGCGACACCCACCGACGCCAAGCGTCGTTTTCAGAATATTGGTATTTTCGAGCATATTTTGCATAAAATATCAATATTGAATTGTTTTTGATAATTTCGGAGACACGACGCCCACCGACGCCGA